CCTCTTGAAGGGCCAGCAGCACCCTGTGCTCTGGGGAAGCAGTTCTTGTGTTTGCCACTCCTGTTGCGTAACTGAGAGCTGTGCACAGTAACCACCAGACCCCTCGTGTGTGACAGTTCTGAATTAAAAAATAAAGATAACAAGAGTGGGTGCTGCTTTCTGAGACACACAGAAAGTTGACAGTTCTGAAAAATTGGGCACTAGTGCCTTAAAGCGTTTTGCTTCAGTTTGTCATCTGAAGAGACAATGAGAGCCATGGAGTTACTGCTGCTTCACAGGCTGCTGTAAGTTAGCTGAGCCTTGCAATTGGCAGGATGCATGTCCTTAGCCCAACACAAATCTAAGTCAAGTGTCAGCTGATCAGTAGCTGCCAGCTACCATTGTCCTCTCCTTCCTTGCTGAGTAGCAGAAAGACCCTGCCACGGTCATACATCATCCTCAGTGGAGTTTCTTGGTTTTCCATACAATATGCTCTTGTAGAGCCCCCTCCTATGCAGACAATCAAGATACCAGCATGAATTCCCAGTTATCCTGGTTCACTTTACATCTCTGGAGCCCCAAGAGTCTGTAAAAATGCGAGTATTCACCGCAGTAAAGAGGCATCTTGGGAACAGAGCCAAGCTCTGCATGAACCCATTAATAGTTTGGTTACTACTTCAGCTGCATTCTGCTAAAAGCTGTTTAAACAAAAAGAAAAAAATGAAAAAAAAAAAAAAAATAGAAAGGAGGGTATCCTGTACAAGCATCATTCTGCTGGATTTATGCATAGGAGAGTAGCTCCCCAAATAAACTCCCTGGCAGAGTCAAAATTGTAGAGAAGAGGTCACTCAGTACTGCGTCATATCGGGTGAGAGAGCAGCAATGGAGACACCCATTGCTGGTACTGTACTTACCAACAGCTGAACCTCCCTGCCTTTGGTGGGTGCCATGAGCACACAGAATTCCCTGGCTGCTCCTGCCCTGCTGCTGCTGGGCTCTGGCTTCCTCTCAAAACAGCCTTACAGAGTCACCACTTGGATTGGGAAAACATACCTGAAGCCAAAATATGCTACTTTATAGCAATGAAAGATATCAGCAAAACTGGCAAAAGTTCAAAATAGCCTTAGAAGGGGCTTTCTCAAACTTTAACAACTATCACCACCACCACACTCATAGTAACTATTAATGCTAAATTAATTAAATCATAGACAAATGGCATGAACTGCCGATTGAAGTCACATTGGGACCAAAAAAATGAGACACTGAAGTCAAACTTACCTCCTTCTGCACTGCGCACTCAGTCTTTAAATCCCATGCATGTATTACACATGTCCTCCAAGCCACTCAGTATCTGAGGCAGCATCTTGAAGCTCTTTGCAACTGCAGCCTGCAATGTGTGCAAACGTGTGCCACTTCTGTGACATGTCAGTCAGTCCAGCTGTCACTTAGTCTCACATATTTTACACATGACTTTGTGAAAGATTTCTGTTGCTGCCAGGAATGACCTGGCTGGGAAAGTCAATGAGTTTTGTATATGATAAGGCAGAACAGAGGAAGAACATCACTACCTCCATTTTAATGTCAAACCAATCTCCTTCTAAGGCTTTGAATTCCTAACAAGCCTCAGGCAGTCTACGGTGTCTGATCATAGTTAATGTTCAGCTACATGGCTGAAGAAAACAGAAATCTTCTTTGCTAGGTGAAGATTTTGATTATCAAACCCTTTAGAAATCAGTGGGGGCAGTTGAAGCTCAGAGATGTATCACATGGGGAAGTGCCTGTGTGCCCAAGGAGCAAGAGCACAAACGAGAGCAGCCCTCTTGATGTCTAAGTTATCACTAAGGTGAGGGACAGTTTAAAGAACCACAGTAATGAGAGGCTTGTGACAGAGAACTGGTGGTCTTGGAAGAAGCATGGATGTTAGCAAGGCTTTATACAATTACTGATTTGAAGAAATCAATTCATCCTGCACACTTAATGAAGGAAAGATCTGGCAAAAAAATAGTTACATAAATAGAAAATCGCATCATGGACACATTAGGAATGAAGTCATAAAGATTTTCTAATTTCCAAACCTTTGGCATTGCAAGCTCAGTATTCTTGAAGCACGGTTTGCAGTGTGCAGTGATATATATTTACATGTTATCACACAGATGGGCACAGACACCCAGAGATCCATGCACACATGCACTTCAGTACACTGGGCTACAAGATGATAAACTCTTTTAAGCTAAAAACAGTTTCTATGCATTATATAAGAGAGGTTAAGAGCGTTCATCTATATCCCAAGACTTGTGGTTCCCCAAAATGGTGTGCCCTTACAGAAAATTAAGGGTTTATTCAAGCCGAACAACAATCCCTCTAGGAGGGGTTTTGAGCTACAGCAGCCACCCATCCTTTTTAACAATACATAAAGAAACCAAATGGTTATTAAGTTGCCTTGTCACAAGGTCTGTGTCCACAGACATTCCTGGAGCTGAATTCCCACTGAAGTAAGTGACAACTTCACACAAACGGGCTGCAGTACCTGGGCCTAAATATTTAACTTCTTAGTCATTCTCTTCGAATACTTGTAACGTTTTCAATTGTAAACACTGAGAAAAGCTACTGCTCATGTACTTAAAACCAGATGGATTTAAAGCCCACACCCAGAGAATCACTTGCTGTAACCCCACAGCTACACCCAAGCTGGTCCCAGCTGTTCCACTTAACGTTTTACAATACATCACCAGGATATTCAGAAATAAGGTCTACCAGCACAAGGTGTATGGCTCTGTTTGCTTGATAAGCAGGTAACTTTATGAGGGTTTTTAAAGACAGTAAAGAGAGAGGACTTTGGCCATTTGCCCAAGATTTCTAAACATCCTGAAGCCCAGTGAGAAGAGCGGCTACTTGATACCTCAAAGTCCCAGTCTAAAGGTCACTAGTCCTATACAGATCATTAGCACAGGCAATTCATTTGTAACTACTGTTTTGGGTAATCTTTGGCACAGCTGATGCACCCCTATAGCACCAAGCCGCATAAGCAGGAGGCATCTGTGCAGCACAAGTGCAGCAGATCCTTTCAGAAACAGGAGATCCTAAATATGTTGCTCTTCCCAGTGGATTGCTGATGTGGTTTCTCTGACCAGTGTAATTTAGAAAAGGAGGTTTTCCAAAGTCATCCTCACCAGAGTGCTGCAGAAGATGCATGTTTTATCAGGAGCCTGGGTAACACAGGGCTCAGCACACCACTAGGAATCTATCTGCAAAGGAAAACATCTTAAATTTCTTCTGTGTTTGATCCCAGGGCTGACCATTCGCTGTTTCCACTGCTGCCTTGCCTGTTCTGTGTCACAGTAGCTGCAGTCAACACAGACAATTCTGTTCAGATGCCTTGTGTTTTACTGCACAGTGCACAAAATGTAACCTGATAAGGCACAAAAGGGATTTGGCATCTTCTCTTTTTCGCGGGAACACTGTTATTGTTATGGGCCATCCAAAATGTGAGTCAGCCTCGGGGATAAGGCGCTGCAACACAGCAAGAGCCAGCGTGGGCTGCAGCAGCTCAGCTCAGCTCTCCTGCAGATGTGCTGCTCTCCCTGCAGATGTGCTGTCCCCCTGGCAGTGACGGTGGCTCTTACCCTTTCACTCGTCCTCCTCTTCCGAAAGCACAAGTCATTCAGAAATGGCATTTGTGCCATTTTCACACTGACAGATACCTCTTCCTACAGTAACTGGTTAAACTTATGTGGCATGTGGTTTCATTCAGCTGATCTGGACTGTGCTGCAAAAGCCAGGCACACCCTGGCCTGACAGGAATCATGAATCCCCTCCTCGGCCAAAGACGCTCGAGAGAACATAAACCAGACTGGGAACTAAAAGGCCAATGGACTCTTCCTTAAGCTCCAGAGACCCTTAATCCCCATGTATCCTTTTCTACACATTGCTTTACACGCCTGATTGAAGCCCAAGTGATTGAAATCAAATTAGCAGAGGGAAGGGAACGTCCAGGCGCTGAAATCAGGACGCCCATTCCTGTTTCACATGTAGCCACTCGCACTGAAACAACGAGTCAGGATCTTAAGAGCCCCCTGAAAGGACAAATCTAGAGAATGCAGGAGGGACAAGGCCAGCAAGAAAGTGCAGAGAAAAACTGGCTGCACAGACAGACAAAAGGAGAAAGAAACTGAGAGGTTTTGAGAGAAATTGGTTAGAAAGTGTCCCAACTTGGGGAGGTCTGCTCTGTCAGGGCTTCAGGATAGCTGCGGAGAATCTGGTGGAGTGTGTTTAGCATGGACATTGTTCTACCAGTGGGACCCAGTGTTGCAATGCTATTCTCTTTAGAACAGTTAAAAACGCCAGGAAAAATGAGATTTTTATAGTGACATTATTCAGGCAATTTCCCATGTCCTCAAAATGCATCTGGAGACTGGACGCTGGGTAGGGCCCATTTCCTTCAGCCTTGCAGGGAGCACACGGCTCATGAAGCTGTGACTCTCCTTTGCTCCTGAGGGACAGGACCCGTGTCCAGGTTTCACTGGGAACGTGCTCAGTAGGACAGTCTTGCTGGCCTTTACACAGCAAGGCTTTCCAGGCACATTACTCTGTAAGATGTGATCCCAACATTGACTCAACACTGGATGCACATCTGGAATTCAGTCACTCGTTAGCCATGTTTAGGTCACACTGACTTGGAAAACATGCAGGAGAGAGACAAAGGGAACAGCTGACTGTAAATGCAGTTGTTTTACCTCCACTTACCTGATCTGTGAGGTCCTGGGATATCCAGGATGCTCCTATGATTGACAGTCCCTCACCTTCACCTTGCAGACAGCCCCAGCTGTGTCCGCGAGTATTACCAGGAACATGGTGCAGCCAAAACCCCCAGCAGGGCTGTTCCACTGGCCTCAAATGGGACCTCAAGCCTGGTCTCAGGGAACAGCCACTCAGCCACCCAGCCCTCCTACCTGCCCTCCCATCCTGGGCACGCAGGAGAGGACACCGAGCAAGACACACCGAAATGAAGACACGGCACAGAGTTTTTAAATAATTTTATAATTTCCTGATGAACTTAGTCTGTGAATAAAAAAAGAAGAAAAAAAAAATGAACAAAGTGTTTATATTATCAAGGCAAAGTTGAATATAACACATTTTCTTTGCAATTTCATTATCCTGTCAGTAACATGACTCCAGCAATAAAACACATACAAGTTGAAGGCAGCGTGCGCACTTGCATCACGGACATCAATGTCTCCCGCTGCTGTTATTTCAAAAAGGAATTCAAGTATCCTAGATCCCATTCCCAAAGCCTGTCTCCCCCTCCACTAAAGTGCAACACGTCTCTTCCAAAGCAAATGAGGGATCCATGTCTGTGGAGTGGATGGAGCATCCCACAGAATTTTTTTTTTAACTCCACAGACGATCTGTGAACCCGGTGTGCGGCTCTCCTCATTTACTGACCTGGAAGGAAACGGTAATTTACTCTTTTAGTGGGCTTGGAGCAGCATGTTGGGCTAGCACAGAAATTATTCCCCTGGTCATGGTCCCGTTGGATTCATCCTCCTTCAGCATCTGAACAAATGAAGGCATCTTACACTAAAGCCTCCCCAGATATACTGTAACGTGTGTGTAAGTAGGGGCCAAACACAGCCACCCTGGGCAGGCAGGGAGGGCTTGGCCTTGTCCATGGAGAGCTGGGAAGATGGGACAGATCAAAGGAACAACGTCTACTCATAAAATCTGGCTTCAAATTTGGTTTTGAGTACATCCATCTTTTGCCAGCTTCCAAATGAAAAAAAGAACATTTTGAACAAAAAAAAACCCACCAAAGCACCAGGAACCTAAAGCATGGATATCTACTTAAAAGCAAAACCAATTGACTTGATTTTCAAGATCTAAACTAAAAGTGCAAAAACAGCACATGGTAAGTTTGATATTAAAAATACATTCACTTAATGAAATTCTTTACCCAGTCTCATAGTTAAAGTGACTTTTTTGTTTACGTTACATGTCAGTTTAAGCTCACTTAACCTCCTTTTAAGCAACACAAGTCTTTGATGCAGCCAGAGCAGAAGGTCCCTTCCTGCCCCATAACCTGCTGCAGGTACGTGACCAACACTGGACACAGAGAAATACAACTTTGATAATCGATCTACCCAGAACTACCTGCCCCAGCTGATCTGCACTTGCTCGTGTCCCTGGTATCAGTGGGTGCAACGGAGAAAAAGGAAAACTTGGCCAAAGCATTTGGCCCATTTACATCAGCAGTTCTTATCTTAAGGGACACCTGGTGTTGGTAACTGTTACCAGAAAAGATTGATTTCCAAAATACTGTTTCATTCTGCCCATTTCTGTCTTACACGTGTACAGTACAGACCTGGGAAAGCAGGAATTTATACAGGGGTTGTAACATTTCCTAAGAGGCCAAGAAGCCTTGGACCCCAAAAGCCTGTGAAAGGCAACTGGTTATAATTATAAGCCCACAAAATCCTTTTCCGTACAATCCTGAGAGGAGGAGTCATGGCTTTGTTGCTTCTTTACTTGAATTCCTTTTAATGAAATTTATTTTTATATATTTGTTTAAAACACATCTTTTTCAGTTCTACTACTATCTTTTTTTTTTTTTTTTTTTCAATCCGACAACAGACACACATTGTTGGTAACTGCCCCAGCCTTAGGACCACACAGACAATATCGACAAGCAGAAAACAAAACAGGAAGAAAACACCCCTGAAAAAGCCAGGAGAGATACTGATGACAGGGTTACAGCACTCACCACACACACTGGAAAAAAGTCAGGATTTCTGTGTTTATGCTTTGACACTAAAAACTTTTGAAACAGTTTTTCCTTTTTCTTTTTTTTTCTTTTTTCTTTTTTAAAAATAGTCAGCGGACGCAGCCATTTTGTTCAGAAGGATCTGCTGTTGCGTAAGGTTCCTTCCATTCATGTGGAAAAAACAATTAAAAACATTATTTTGTCTAAAAACCCCCCCTGACCCTCTCCTTTTCCTCACCACGCTGATGAGAGGGGTCAGCAGAGTTGGCCTTGCCAGGCGCGATGCCCCGTGCCCGACCCTCCCACCCTGCCGGCTTCGCTGGGGCAGTGTTGGTTATCCGCAGCCTTCCGCGTCCTCTCCGGTTCCCTCTTCCAGTGCCGACGTCGAGATGAGTGGAGGCTTCCTTTAAAAATCAGATGCCTTGATTGTACTATTTCCCTTTTGCATTTCACTGGAGTCACTTGAGGGGTATTTGTGTTACTTACGTAGTGAAACTTCTGCTTTAAAATGGTATCAGTGCGTGACTCTGGTCCTTTGCGAAGACCCCTTCAGTGGCAACGATTGGCAATTAGTACAGGAGTGGGGACTCAACCCTGTCAACCTTTATCAGATGTAGAAATCTCCCAACAAATTGAGCACTAGCAGCAGAATGGGTGGGAATTACAGGGCAAATGAAAAGAGATGCCCCTTTGGTTCAAAAAGCCAAGGTTATGCCTACAAGATTTATGACATTTATGCTCCCTTGTGCAAATTCCTGAGAGCCCCAAAGTACCAGAAGATTTGCTAGAGAAGGGATATTCCAGCCAGAAATGCAGTGCAACCAGAAATGGCACACGCAGCTTCGTGCATCACGTCGGCCTTCTACCTTCTGTCCCCAGGACTTGGCAAAAACTGGATACTCCAAAGAGGGTTTGGCATTTTATGGAGGGAAAGCTGGTTAAAGGCAGTCAAAATGAGAGAGAATACTAGAAGCTTAGAGCTTCGTCTGGGAGCACGCCAGGCAATTCTTCTTCCAATTGCAAGCAGTGCTCATGTCCTCACCCTGCAATTCTAGTGTTGTAATGTCCTTTTAGTGTTTTACATGAGGCTGGATTCAGAGGCAAATATGGACTTGGGCTTATGGATATCATGAACAAGCATGGTAGTGGTGTCAGCTTTTACACTTTACTGTGGGCTTCAGGCTTCAGTTATTTTTTAGCCCAAACCCTGCTAAAATGACCTATTTAATTTTTCTACAGACAGCTCCTTGTGTCCTTACATCTCTCAGTTTCTCTACAAATGACAGATTGGAAGGAATAAAAGTAATAGTAAAGCAATTAAAACTTTCTCAGCTCCCATAGAAAACGGAACTTCATTCAACAGGAGAAGAAAAAGCAAGTTTCCCAAGGGCCCCTGGGAAGGGTCCCTGATTTCCCAGAGCTGCTGCACTGCAGGACTGCTGTGTTGGAAAACTGTCTGCATCTGCCTGGCTGCTGACACTTGGGTATTAGGCCTTAGAAGAGCAGTGGTGGGTTAGGCAACTGGATGAGCACTGCAGTGTATGCACACACGTGGCCATTCTGCCACGTGCCTGACACGCAATCCCACGATGGGTTATGATAATAAAATCCCTTTGTTGCCCTAAGGCCAACGGTGCAGCACTCCATACGAGTGAAAGGAAAAAGCTTGCAGTGGCCACGTTCAGCATTAAATCGTGGCCAGCAGCACCTCCCAAATCCCAGAGTTCCTCAAGCTATTCACCTCAAGATCTCTGTCGACACAGGATCAGAGAGATTACCTGAAATGGTTCAGTGGAGATCAAGTCGGATCAAGTCTGTTCCTAAATGAGATCTGCTCTCTCCCTGAAAGCACTTTGTAGAGGTCTAAGATCAATGTTTAAGATGGGAAGCCCAGAAGATCTAGAAGATAACAGCAGTTAACGAGAAAAATCACAAAGGCCCAACAATCCAGATGGGAGGAACAGCAGGTGTGTGGCTGGGAGATAAAGGACCAAATGGCCAGCATGAAAACCAGCCAGGCTTCACAAATCCTCTCCGGGAAGAGGCCTGGAGATGTGTAAACAGTGAGCTTTACCTGGCTGCCGACACACGGATCCTGCCCACACTGCCCTGACAGCACCGTGCCTTTGACTGGGGCACTCTGAGCTATAGAAACGCAGCCACAAACTTGAGTTAGAGATGCAGAAGAACCAGCACTTCCCTGTGATGTGTGGGCACTGCAGTAAAGCAAGGGAATTGAAATAACAGCCTGAAGTGACCGCCCCTCATTCCCATCCCCTCCCCCTGTCCCTGCCTGCAGCAGGAACGTTATCAAGGAACATCTCAGTAAGAGGTTTACAAGCAGGAGTCATTTGAACCATCGATAAGAGAAATTCCACAGCTTCTCACAGAGGAAGGATTGTTTTACAGCAGGGAACCAGGGCAGCTGGAGATTTGACCATATAAGTTAATGAGATAGTCAGGAGGGGTGGCGGTGGCCCGATGATGTTTGGCTGATGGCTCTGATGCTTTTACAGGCGGCATTAAATTCCTTGAGTGAGTAATTAGGGGTGATGAAGAAAAAGCAAGAGGAAAGATTTCAAAACAACAGCTCCTACCCGAAACGTGCTGACTCAAAGAATGGGACCAAAGGGGTGGATCTGGGATGAGGCACAGCTCAGCGGTACGTACAGTCATTGTCTGCACGCCTTCCGGTGTTCCCCCCTGTCCACACTTCCAGGTTCCCATTACTCTCCTCAGCCACAACAAAAAAATAAAAAGCTTCAGACACAGGCTGATTTGCAAAGCACTGGCAGTTCAAAATATGGAAGAGGTGTGAATCAATCACTCCTTCTTTGGAGACTTACATATTTCTTCCTAGTATACACCACGGCTATGGATCCAGTTCCTTCTGCTGAATCATTACAGTAGAATCAATTGGGATATGATTTCTTTTAAATCAGTTATTTTTCAATAGAGTCTACAGGTATATAGAGTTTCAGTTTTGCCCAATTTTCAGTCCTTGTTTTGAAAAAAATACAGGGTACATCTCCCCTTACTCAAACTTTTGCTGATCTCCTTTCTATTGGAAGCTATCGGTCACTTCTAAAGATAAAGTGTGAAAGACCTACAGGGGAGCTGTGCTGTGCATTTGAAAGACATAAGAATTGTAGTCTTCCTGAAAGGGCCTGGAACATTTTCCTTAGCGTAACAGTTTAGTGATTAAGCTCAAAATGTAGTAAGTCATATGGAATTAAACTGCAGGCTCTGAATGGGAGGTTTACTGAGAGGGTTCATAATTAGCTAGTGACTAGAAACCCAAGATTTCTTCCACCGCTGTGTTGATATTTGGTCTCCTTTCACCCTCCCCTTGTTCTCTTAAGTAACATGAGACAGGCAAAGGGGAACAACTCCTTTAAGGAGCACATGGGGACGTGTTAAAGGGTTCTGTCCTGCAGATGCCCCCAGACACACATAACCACTGGTAGCCAGGAAAAAACACGTCTCCCCATTAATGCATAGTCCAAGAATGAACAAGTCCTACTCACAAAATAGGATTCTGACTTGCTACCACAATGACAAACTGACCTGGTATTTCAGGTCATATTACCTATCAGCAGGGGCTTATTGAGTGTCAAAGATGGGTGGGAATAAGACTAAGGCCTCTCATATACATATAAGAATTGCACTGGTTTAAGTAAAGCTGTGATTTTACACCTATGTACTCAGCTGGGTGCCAACTCCAGCAGAGATGATCCTCTTCATAAGAATGGGTTATTGCTCTGAACTCAAACTCATTCCTTGTCAACCTAAGCTAAACCAAAATAAATTAAATTATAATTATAGTAAGAACTATGTTACTGATTTACCTAACTTAGCTTTAAAATTATACTTTTAAGCTGAATGAGGCAATTTGCTCATTTACAAAACCTAAGACTATTCTGATGACAGCTAATGTTCACAAAGTTATGACCTGAAAAATTGGCAGTGGACAAACTATACAAGTTGAAGCTGGGAGCTGATCTGTTGACCACACCTGCTTGAAGGGAGAGAGCTCTCTATAAAATAAGAACTTAGGAGATACAGACCTATGATGAGAAAACATCATCTAAATCCCCCCCAAAAATCAACAGATGAAAACAGTTACCTTAACAAATGCCCCACCTGGCACGTCAGAGTCAGACCAGTGAACAATAAAAATCCAAGTTAAGTAAACAGAAAGTACCACTATGCCTACCTTGTTTCCCAGCTGCTAGATGAAGTGACTAACAGGAACAAGTAGGGAAACTTTCCTTTCCTCTCTCTGTTATTTAAGAACATAAGGAACACTGAGACAGGCAGTGAGACCCGAGCTAGCTACCTGGTGCTGGCCAGTCATGAGCCATAATCAGAGCATGCTCAGGTTTGGTTTTTAGCACTATGAAATTCAGGCTTTCAGCTTTTATGAAAATAAAACAAAAAAAAAGGAAGAATGAAAAAAAGCAACATAAGAATGAAAGGCAAGGGCTACCCTTCTGCAACCTCATGGAGAACTAGAGCTGCTTGTGTCCAGTGGATCCCCTCTGCTTTGCTCAGTAGACTTGGAAGAGCTCTGCTCAGCTTTATCCCAAAGTCACCACCAACAAAGTCAATGGGGAATCGGATTCAAAAGCAGAAAGGCAGCGAGAAGATGAATGCAGAAATGACTGATTAATCACGGGCTGGAAGAACCTAGAGAGCATGTAGTTTTTTCGAGTTTTTTTTTTTCTTTTTCTTTTTGCTTTTGTTTTCTTTGTAAAAGGTGCACCAGAAGTTTCAGTTCCGCTTTCTGTCTTTCACGTTGCTCTCCGCTCTTACGGCTCCTTGGACTGACTGGGCTTGGCCACTGGTGTGCTGCTCCAGTGGGGCTGGTGGCCGAGGTCATGACGACTCCTCGAGCGTGTTGACGACTTGCTCCAGGATGTCAGGGCAGTGATCCGCTATCTGCTGTAGGATGGCATTGGCAAACTCCTGCAGCTCCGCGCTCTCCTTCTCCCCCTTTTCCAGCTCATCATGAAGCTGCAAGAAACACACAGAGCTGTGGTTATTCCCTGCTATTCAGTGTGGCCACTGTATCACAAACCTGTCCAGCAGGCTCAGCTCTAAGATAGAACATCACTTTTAGAAAGGGAGCCGGTGGAGGTGTAACATGCTGGGCGCTTCCAGGATTGCCATCTTCCCTTTTTCATTCTATGGGACCAGGTTTGTGACCTTCCCAGTTGAGGCCACGTCCACATGGGAAAACTAACCGGCTTAATTACTCCTGAACACACTGTTCTATGATAAATATGAGAAAAACTTCCTCTGTGAATGTTTTTCTAAAAGCAACCATATTCCAGAAGTGACACAGCAGTTTGTTAGTATATTACTTTAAATAATTTGACCTCTATTCGTGAACAACAGGATGTTTCATAGGTCATTGCTTAAGGATTTTCTACAAAAATTTCTTAGAAAAAAATCAATGGGAATGTTACATAATTATATAGAATATACTCAGAGTTAACCAGAATTCTGTTTTTTCTGTGGAATTGCTAATTTTCAGAGACTGTCCTAACTCAGTTATAAGATGACTACACACAATTGCAGTGGAACATACACAATTTTTGTTTACTAACTCTGCATTTCCTGTTGGATCATTCGTTTTCAGATCGTTTGGCTCATAACAGGACACGAAATTTTAAACTTTATATTATTCACTCTGCCCACAGTTTATAAACAGTTTTCCCAACAAGTGGTGTTACAAACCACGTCACACAACATACTGGAGTATATGCAAACACAGCTTTTAGCTCTGAGCCTGATGCCATTGCCAGAATTAGGGGCCCACAAAGACTTAATGAAGAGCAGGAAACATCTGCCTTCAGCAACCTGTTTATCTGCCCAGCAATTGATAAAGTCCATGCTGGCCTGTGAACTGTGTAAAATCCCAAGTAATGCTGTAATTTGTGCAAGCATTTTATGGATTACTGTACTCACAGTGGCCTAAAGATCTAACAAAACAAGGAGAAACAGCACCTCGTACTAGATCAGATGATAAGGATATATAGATTGGATAAGCTTTCAAGCAGACAGCCCTTTCGTTACTATATATCAAAAATCCTTTATTTTTTCAGTCATATGATTTTCTTCTAAGCATATTCCCTATGAACATAAGCATATATATTACAAGGTACATACACTTAGGTGGATTCTGAAGTTTATTCCAAGCTTCTGCATCCAAAGCTCTTTGTCATTTTGAGCAGCTGTAAGCAACTACCTTATTTGAAGCTTCTTTTAATTTTTTTTTCCTTTATCTGTCAGTTCTACCACATTTCTTATTCCTAACTGACTAATATTTGTATTGGAACCCTACTATGTTAATATATGACACGGAAAGAATGTCAAACTGGCATTTTTCATGCCTGAAAGGATAATTGTTCATCGGTATACACATTTCTTGATCTATATTTTGCACTTCTGTTACACTGCTCATTGTAGGTTTCAAAAGGAGAGAACTATCAGGCAGCAGCTCAACAGGGATCATTTTACCACTGTAAGAGCACAATGCAGTGGCAAAGGTCAGATTTCTACAATTAAAATTCTAATCAGATACAACAGTACGTCTCTGTTTAGTGATGGTATCAAGCAAAGCACAGCAGATTGTTTCTGCGAGAAATACTGCATAAAAACAAACAGCCCAAGAACGACTACAGAATAAACATAAACGCTTTTTAAGGAAGTTATGGTAGAGACTTCTGTAGACAAAAGTGCGAGAAAGGAAATTAAAAGGGTGAGCCTGCTACACTGTTCCCTTTACTAGGCAGGGTAGCATATAGTAAATTATTTGGGCTTTGCGTGCTGAATGTTAGTTTAATGTGTTCTTATGTGCTTTGTTCCTACTGGCTGCCGAACTCCCAGCGCAGCCACATGAACGCGAGAGGGGCTCCTGCCAAGAATCACAATGCAAGAGCAACCTGATCCCGCTCTGCGGAGTGACATGAGCCGGGGAAGTGGGGAAAACGAGAGGGAGGGGAGCACTCCGGGCTCTGTAAGGGCTCCCGGGGGAGAAGGGGGGGAACTCGGCAGTAACCCGTAATGGTTCAGAAATGGCACGCTGTGGATAGGTGATTAGCCTGGTTCCAACAGCCTGGCAGAGTTATTAGTCAGAAATTTGCAATGGATGGATAAGCCTAGGAGAGGTGCAGTCAGCAAGCAGGATTGAAAGAGTCAGAAGAGCCAGTTAGGAGCAGCGTTGGACATTAAAAGCCAGGAGAATGGGATTCAGGGACTACCTCTGAGTTTCAGGTTGCTCAGCCTAGTGAAATCCCAGCAATCCAGGCAGCCCCAGCTACAGCAGCCTGCAAACCACCTCACTGCTGGTGCATTCATGGGAATGGTTTGAACCTTCAACTCTGAGACATGGCTGCCTTGTGACTTCCTGGGCCAGGGCAAAGATTTCACAGCGCCATCATCAGAAGGGTGGGAGGCCATGGAGGTTGGGAGAAAGGAAGCAATAGGAGAAGCAGCCTACAGTGTAATTCTCCTTTTCTTATCTGGCCCCTGCAAGGGTCCTGAGCTCTTGGTCCGCAGGAGGAGAACCAGGAGAGGGCAGTGTTAGCAGGGAAAGCAGAGGTCCTGCATCATCACCACCTGCCCAGCCAGTATCCCTCCTTCCTGGCCTTTCAGCCAAATCCTCCAGGTGAAGTGCCAGGAAAGGACAAAGCAACTAAATTAATCAAATATAAAAGCACCTCTAAGAGATTAAGCTACAAAATTGAAAGGAGGTTGGTGAACGAGGAAGAATCGTGCAGGATGTTGTCCTCAGCAGGGCAGTACTGCAATGTCAGTGAAATCTCAGTTTCTTGCTGTACTGGTCAGCAGTTTTGTATTTATAAGATGCCTTATAAAATCAAGATAAGCCCAACAAAATAAGCCCATGCCAAAGCTAATAAATCAAATTCAATCAAACAAAAGTAACCGACTTAAACAGGGGAAGAAAATACTTCCAAGAAATGAGTTTCTGACCATCAAGAGCCCAAAAGGAGATGGCTCTGAATGCTGAAGGCCAGCAACAATACTTTGCAAATTAGCACAGACAGAAAGTCTACACAGCTGGCTGGCAGATGTCTGTGATGAAACGTCCTGGAAAAAAGCAGCAATGATAGCCTTGAGTTGAGTTTGCTAGCTTCAGAACATCTAGGTTTAATAATGTGATTTCTCCCTCAACAAAGACATCTTAATTGACTATATGGCTGGTGGCAGCATTTCTAGATCCTATATGTCACCTCCATTTACGTCATTCCTCTCAGAAACAGCTGTGAGCAGCACACGTCAGCCCTCATTCAGGCAAGGGCCTTAGTGGGGAACATCCAGTTCTCAGTGGTGTAACTTGATTCACCTGCATGTTTGGCAGTCCAAATTTTAGGGAAGTTTCTCTAAAGGTATTAGTTGGGTCTGCTCCTGGTTTCCTAGATTTTCGTCTTGTGAATGCAACCAAAAACAGTGTTCTCTTCCCCACACCATTTTTCTATTAAAATAAAGGAGTGCCAGCAGTCCTTTTTTGTGGGCATTTTCAGCAGAGGATATGAGGAGATTCATACACTTGTCTCACAGAAATGACCAGAAAAGAGAAGGCAAGGCCAGAGATGTCTGTCTAGTTGAAGGCAAGTAAAAATAGACAGCTCAGAAAGAAAAGGATAGCAAGGACCCTAGAAGTGCTTCACAGTATTTATCTTTGGACAGAAGAACAGAAAGGACCTTCAGCATCTCAGGGGAATGAAAGCTTGCAGATAATCTGCAATAGATTCAGACACTTTTCAACACTGCTGCCTTCCTTCCTGGGTTTAGAGCAAGTCATGATAGGAATACTTTTCCATTTATAGTTAAACTCCATCAGTGAAAAAAAATCCCTAACAATTCAACATGAATTTAGCTTCTCTGTTGCAAGATATTTCAGAACTTATTTAAAGATTAGCTGACATTTAGAGAGAAGATAACTTCATAGTTAAGAAATAGGATGCTATGGTTTTATATGCACACGAGATGAATTGTGGTGCTGCTCCACCGAACTTTTGTGGCCTTTGCTTATTCCACAACGTAAACAAGGCAACATTAAGCTAAGATCCTTTAAAATTTATTTATATGGAGATGGTTTACTCCCCAGTGTGATTTTCCTCTTGTTAACAATTCCAAAGAAACACTGATGAATAAAGGCAAACACAGGCTAAGGACAGAAAAACTGAATTCAGAATATGAAATGCTTGTAGAGCAGCACAAAAACAATGTTGAGGGGAGGACTTCCATTAGGCTACAATACTGGGATATGGAATTACGTTTCTCCAAAGCTTAAGTGTTTCTCAATGGTTAGTCTGAAAAATACATTTAGAGCTTAATGTAACAGAAATAAGCATCAATAAGAAATTAAACTGATTTAATCTTAACCTTTGTTTTGTCTCAAAATAAGTTAAACTTCACTGTACCTCAGGCAAATGGTCAAGAGCTTTTGCATCTACCCGGACTAACCAGTATAAATATGTACGTTTGAAGTACTGAGAACCAATTTTATATAAACCTTTATTTGTCAACTATCTACCTATAAAATGACCAAAAGAAAGGGTTCAGAATACAGAAATCCAGTCTGACAAGCTTTAAAAACAAAACAAAACCAAACAAACAAATAAGTAATGTAAACCCTTAAATATTTCTGCTCTACCTGGAAATTTTGTTTTTATGCTAGCTTTTTCCAAATATTTAAAAAAAAAAGGCATTTAAAACTTAAACTAAGATTTCAAATTAAAATCTTGTCTTTTTAAATAATATAAACTTTAAAAGTATGTTTAAATGTATTTAAATATATTTGATTAGATTTTGCAACCAATTTTGAGAAAAAAACCCTGAAAAAGTTTGTTGAAGGCTCTTGTACCATATATTTGAAATAGCTCTGCAGATGGGATTTATCCTGCATTTCTGAGCATGTCTAAGCTCTGTGAACAGCAGAAATCTTATTATTTCCTTGGTCAGGAAGGAATTCCAAGATTATT